GCCGGGAGGACCGGATCATTATTGCATTTCTTGCGAGCCAACGTCAGTGAAACCTATCGCAAATTTCTTGTTGTGAAGTAAAGTGACTCTTTCTTTTCATAGTAATTAGCTTTGGAGTCCAAGGCTTAAAAACCAACCAACTGTGTGTGATAGACAATAAACGTGCGCTGATGCGTGACTCAAGTAGGCGTCCAACATTTGGAAGTAAGCTTGTTATGCGCATTAATCTTCACCGGCTATACCTGTGAGACAAGACCGATTGACTTAAAAGAAGTACGGTCGCCTTATTGTTATGCTGAAGTTCGGACGAGACACCACAAAAGAAGGCCCGATTAAGGAAGGATATCATGAAGAATCTGTTTACCCTAAGAATCATGAAATTTAGCCTATTATTGACCTCCTTTTAGCCTTAATTTTTTTTGTTTTGCCTTCTCTACAAATCGCTCGAGAATTGGAAACCAGTGACAAGGTAAGTTGTGCCAGCTTCTCGACCTGTTTGTTTTCTGGTCCAGACAACCTCAGTGAGTCGATAGTTTGTGTCATCTTATTGTAGACTTAACTCTTCTTTGAATTGGGCGTCCGACTTGCATGCTGGGAACTCTCGGTGGGCCAGCGTTCAAAGAGAAAAAAATCTCTAATTAAATATTTCCTGCCGTCATTGTTTATTATCTTTACCTCTAACGAAGAAATAACAAGAGTCATAGACGAAAAGTGTTATATATTTTAAATTTATTAAATTAGATTGCAATAATTACAGACCTGCAGTACTCAGGTTTAAATTATCATTTGTTTAGAAATTACACTACAAATGCCGTTTGAATAAGGGCTTAGGTGCCAGTCTTGATTTCTGTACTGGTCTAGGAACTCCAAATCTCTTCATTTGACCTTTTAGTTTCAAAGCCATCATCCTCTTCTTTGCCAAGTCAAAAGAACCTGTAAAATAGAGATTGAAGTCATACGTGTACCTTGTTTGAAATACTACTCATCAACCATTTTAAAACCTATATGTACAATCGCAGTTTACGATGACCGATCATGAATACAAGTTACTGTACTAACCATTAGGTGCCATTTGTTGTCCTGGGTCATTAAACGCAGGGGCTTGATTCATCTCAGCCGGGAAGGGCACTTGAGGAACATCATTATTAACCAGCTGCGTACCTCTTGAGGTCCTGTGGGCGATTGCTACTGAGGGACAAATGCGGGGGCCTGGTCCTGGGGAAAAGGAGCTGGCGCCTAAAATACAAAAAGTTACGCCTGAGTTGAAAACAAAAAAATTTCCGAGGGTTTTTGTTTTTTGCACTATTTGTTAAGAATTCTTTCAGCGCAAGAAGCGCTCTTGCTTAACATTGCAGTGTAGGGAATGTTCTTTCAAATATCAGCTGACAGAAATTATCTTTATAAATTGGTCGATACTGTAATAAGAATTTTTGTGAGTCATTTAGGGGCTGTATTAGGATAATCTGAACAATTTAAAGTGTTCCTCTGATAAACACACTGAACAGGTGGGAGAATATTTTAAGAACCAAAAGCAGGTTGCATTATGATGTGATTTTTTCTGTCGTGTAATATAATCCAAACTTAGCCGGTAGAGGTAGAGATTGGCAAAGCTTCCTTGAATTGCAGGAACTACAGGCTGAGGAAACCCGGGAGCCGGCTGAGAGTCGAATCCAGCAGTTTGAGGAGGCATGCCTTGCTGATTGTAGCCAAATGACTGCTGATATGGCAGCTGCTCTGGTAGCGCTGGGGGAAATCCCGCTGCTGCCTGTGGCTCGGGAAGTGTAGGTGGGGGATTGTAAGAAGATTTCCCCGTCTGTGGTCTCCCCATGGGCGGAAGATGCGGCACGAATTTCTTCTCAGGATGTGTCCCACCAAGAAGTTTTAATTTAGCGGCCATTGCTGCTGCTGCATCTTGAGCCATGGCGTTGATTGAGTGCATACCATACCCATTGGGAGCCATAGAGGCTGGTTGAGAGAACCCCTGGGGGCCGTATGGGACTGGTGGTGGGGGAAATCCAGCGTAAGGCACCGGAGGGGGAGCAAGTGGGAGTTCTGGTGAAGAATATGGGGGAAGCAGTCCGCAAGGATCAGCCCCAACACATCTTGAATTGACGATTACAAAAGAAAAAAGAAAAAAGGTGCCAGTAAACATATAAAAAATAATCAATATACAAACGAAGTTAAAAAACGATGTTTATCCGCGCAAATGTTCTTCGTTTTGAAATTTGCAACAGAATAAAGTGTTTATTATGTATTTATGCCGAAAACTGCAACCCCAAGGCATCACAGCGATTCTTATAAAAACCAATGATATATTTCTTGATTGTAAACATTGCTAGGATGCTGTGAGCATATGACATATCAGTATAAAATGACTTTTGATACGCGTCTTGTGATCAAGCTCCATGATTACCTACTAACTGAGGATCCGGGCTTTTTCATGTGTAGGACACCTGAAACGAAAATTTGATATGAACTTTTGTGTGCAATGGTCAGAAGACTGCATTAAGGAAAATCAAAACAGGACCGAAATTTGTTATAGATGAGGGATCCTCGAGATTGCTTATCCCTGTATTATTAAAAAGAAGGAACTCTCTCGCTCAAACTCCTTTCCGAAAAAGCTTCACGAAGGAAGTTGGGGGTTACTTTTTGACCAGGTCATCTCTCTACAGATTCGGAAACGAGCATTCCCAGCATTCCCAGCATTCCCAACATTCCCAGCATTCCCAGCATTCCCATGAGAGTGATTTAAACATGGAAAAAATCTGATTCTCAGTGAGGAATCGATGTTCCCAATGTCTTTGTTGTTGCATTTCTCCTCAAGGAGTCAGATTTTATCTTTGTTCCCCGTTCGTGACAAGATGAGGTACAGTAAACAGGATGCATACCACACATTCCCAATTTTACCCAGGCACCTTTCATTGTAACTTACTGGCAGGAATGTCAAATCTGTTGGGGATAAAATTCCTGTTATCAGCTGGTAACTGTGCCCCTGTACTGGGTGGAAGGGGTGGGTAACGTCCAGTTGTATAAAATAAGCAATGATACGTTAGTGTAAGTTCTTTGAGGGGGTGAGTGGAAGGAAAGGTCATATGCTATGATAATCTCAGGTAGTTTATTCTTTTTACTTTGTTGAATATAATTGGCATTCCTATCTATCTTGATCTAAGTTATTCATCTGGAACGTACGCGCGCCCCCCTCAAAAGCAACAGTTAAATATTTATATATTTTTGTTGACACTCCAGATTTCCTGTGCCTGAAATTACAAAATTCTGTGATATATTTATTGTAATGCATAAATAAAACAAATGATATACTAGTTCATCACTAATATTTCTGAAAGAAGATTAAAATGCCTTCTCTCGTACCTTTCTTTGTGATGAGACGGTTCGGAAGGAAATTACGGACCTGTGCACTCATCTGAATTGGACGCTGGAATTGAAATTGCGATTCCAACTGGATTCCAACCGCAGATGTAAGTGTCAGAAAAGGACTTACTTCTATCGGGATAGATATTAAGGCCTTAGTGGGTGAAACGGGATCACATGGACACGACCGATCACGGATATCGATAATGAATTCCTCGATATTTGGAGAATGTCCCCTTTCCTTAAGTGATATCCAAAATTTACAGAATGTTTTTAACAATATTTTATTCTCACAGGCACTTTTTGATCACGTCAAGTACAACTCTGTCTCACACACAGAGCGTAATTTTACTAGATCCTATTCTTATTCTTTGTTAGAGTGCCGAACTGTTGTGTAGGACTGTTGTTGTGTTCGCTCCGACGAAGGGCTAACGCTCGAAACGTCAGCTTTTGTAATCGTTACGGTGGCCAATTTACCCCTTCAACTTTGTTGATATATCCAAATTATTTCGTTACTCCCACCGACGCAGCCACAAACAGTTTCTTTCGAAACTATCAGCCTTTATTCTGTTGTGTAGGAGGTGAAGGGTTCGAGCCCCAGCCGGACCAACACTCAAGGTCTTAAAATAACAGAGGAGAATGTGCTCTCTTTCTATCGAGAAATGGATAGACATTCTAGTCTTCTCGGATAAGGACGAATAAATCGTAGGTCCTGTCTCCTACTTCGATCAATTGGTTAATTTGGTTAGGCACGTGACGTTAAACAACCCACTCTAGAGATCACTGTGACGTGGTCCGGCCTGTTTACTGGGAATGGGGGAGGGGGGGGAGGGGTCACACGGGAATTTCCGGTCAATTATTGGCTCAGCTTACATTTATGTGAAAATCACCACGCCCTATGTGTTACACTAATTCAGTGAAGAAGAGAGTTAATTCAGTGCAGAAGAGGGTTAATTCAGTGCAAAGAAAGTAACAAACTAGACATTCTGATTGGTCAATGATCAAAGAAACTCACAGAATAGAGCGTTTTCACATGACGTCACATTTTTTGCGGGAAAGTTGAGTCGCCATGTTGGTGTTCCACACTTTCCAACATGGCGGGATATCCTCTCTCAGATTATGCGAACACGCACGATCCCCACGTGTAAAAACGTTATTTAGAGAAGATTTCTTGTGTTGCAATCGATCCTGTCTTGATACCAGACAAAACATACGATCCAGAGTACCTGCCTCCTGTCGAATCCATGGAATTATTGTTGTTTTTGGTGCTTGACACGAGTTATTACACTAAGGACCAATTTAAGGTGCAGAGAAGTTTGCAGTCTTATAACCAATTGGTTTCAGGGTTTGTAAGTAGCCGTTAAAGAACAAAAGATAGGCAACAAATACATAGTGTCTGGGAAAGTCCTACATTCACAAAGAATGAACGATCTGTTTGTCGCACTTTGAATAATAAGCGAACACAATGGTACGGTTCTCTTCGCTCACTGTGTGGGATGCATGGCGGGTCAAGGGGAGTGGTACTCGCACATCGCAAGTATTTTTTTCTACATTGAGACATGGAATCGGATAAACGAAAAATTAACCTGTACACAGGTAAAATGCACCTGGCTGTTACCAACCGCTGTGAAAGAAGTTCCTTATGCCCCAATAGCTGACATTGATTTTCGTTCGGCAAAGAAACTTAAGCGAAATTTGGATGAAACCATCAACAATTTGACGACTACCGATCTTTCGCAGCTTCTCTTGAAACGAAGTGCCGGCTGCAGACCCTATCGCGTTCTAAAATATCATCAGTTAAGTCATCTCTACTTATCGCAGAGATCCACATTCTTCTTCGCTCAGAAGTAAGTTCTTCGATGCACTCCGGCTCCTTGATTCACTATAACACGTGGGACACGAAAGAACCTTACTTTTTCGACGTTAGACCGCTTCTTCCCTGTTTTGTTCGTGTTCGCACAGCTAATGAAAAGGCAAAGAACCATGATAAAGAAAATATAAATTTTACACTAACGTCTTCTCAAAACTGTAAAATGTACTCCAAATGTTTCCTGTCACGATACTCACTGCTGCTTATCATGGAACACCAACATGGCGGATGAAGTCGGTTACCATGACGATAAAGAAATTTGGTCACGTGAGTGAAAACGCTCTATTACCAACCTCACTGAACAATTCCTTGAACTGTTTGGTCGCACTTTGAACTTTTTTGCGCCTTAAAGATGTGAAAATTTCATTTTGTCGTTTTGATCGTACGCGGTTGTTTTGACCGAGCGCGCACACTGTCACTTGCAGGGCTTGAATAAATTATTTTGCACGTGATGCGCGCGCTTTTCTTCTACATAATTAATTATTATAAGCTACAGCCCCAGAAAAAACTGTTGAGACATTTCAATGCAATTTTTAAACAGCCACTATGTTCTATAAATCTCTTAATGGTCTCGCCCCTGATTATCTGAAATCAATGTTTACTGATCGGAGTGCAATATCCACCCACTCTCTTAGGAATTGAGAGGGCAAACTAGCTGTTCCGACTCCCCCGCACATCTTTTCTAAAAAACAGTTTCAGCTATAGTGGTGCGGTAATGTGGAACAGCTTACCTACCAATCTGCGGCAAGCACAAACTCTTGCTAGTTTAGAATCCGGCTGCATATTAAATAAGTTAATCAATCACACGTCATATTATATATAAGGCTAAAAGGTTAGGAAAAAATTTTAAAATGTTTGGTCCAAACGTTTTCGGCTGTTTGCCATCATCAGGGTTGAAAATAATGACCGTCTGTACATACATATGTCTTATGTAATTCCCGATGGGAAAAGTTTGGAGACATAAGAAATAACTTGTTTGTTCAAACTGGGGCGGAAATGTTGGATCATTAGCCCCTCGACGATCCTGCGTTTGTGGAGTGATTGTGCTGAGGAGAGAACACGCCAAGTGAAAGAATGTGATGGATTTATAATCACACGGCATTCATGGAAAGCAGGCACTTCGTTATTGTTTTTATTTGTTGTTATTAGATTTAATTAGTAGTAGATTAGTATCTTGACAATGTAATTGATGCAATTTTAGTATTTACATTAAGTCCTGATGTTTTACACGTGTATAAATAAAGTTGAATAAACAAATAAATAAATAAATAAATAATCGCTAAGATCTACTAGTCATTTTTTCCATGTTCCAATTCTGTAGTTGTAGATTTCACCTGAAGCGATATTTCACACCCACGTGATAACATTAAGTTTTGACTTGAGGTCTCTTGGTTCCGCTTTGGTTTGCTGTTCATTTCAGAACTCATGTTTTGACAAAGAAGACTTAACGAAAGGCACTCTAAGATCATTTTCGAGGAAAATGGACGCAGAGAATACGCACAACAAAAGCTATAAACGTCCGAAGCATGCAAAAAAAACTATACCACAGGTATGTCGTGGGTAATGATTTTGCACGATTAGTTCACGAACCAAACGAGACCTTCAGGATTACAGTTTCCTTCATCATTGATTTGAAGACAAAAGGGTATGATTCTATACGTTAATTTAGAGACTTCCTGTATTCTGCTTAACTTTTTAGGTGCTTCCGATCTGTCAAGTGTAATGTGCGTTGAAGTGTCATGTCACGCGCGGAACAAGTTGAAAAGACAGCGCAATTTATCCAACTTTAAAAATCTATTCCTTCGCTCTGAATCATTTCCCAAAAATCCTTTCGGGCTCTAAAAGAAGAACTCTTTGACTTTTAAACGCTAGGTTTCCACCGAATTATATGCAGTACCACAAGCTTAAATAATAGGTTAAATTTAGATAAGTTTTCTCCATAAAAATAAGTCGACCAAATTAAATAAGATTATAAAAGTAAATGGTCGAGAATTGCTAAAAATTGTGTTTACGGTATTTTTTGACATCGTTCTACAATGTGTGGTTGATTTTACCGCTGCCCTGGAGTGTTTCATTTTGTAACGCGAAGCGTCGTGAATCGCCCTAAATTTCACATTGAAAAAGCGGCGTTTTCACAAAATAAAATGATCATCGATTTTCTCGAAAACTAATCGATATTTAGCAAAATTAACTATGTGAATGTGTAGTGTGATCGTCCGGGTGATTGTAGTCCTGAGAAGGATTCAAGTGACTCTGATGATGACTTCCGCACAGGTTATCGAAACGTCAGTCACTACAACCGACAACAGTCCTTCCCAGGACTACACTCACCCGGACGATCACACTACACTTTCACATATTACCCCCGGGTTGAGACCATTTACTGCAAAATAAACTATGAAGTGTTTTGTTTTACATTAAGGTTTACCTAACATGAGATTATGGGCCAAATTGATTTTTGAGCTGTTGCCACGAAATTTTAAAATTGTTTGATATTTGGTGACATTTGCTCTTAAAGTCGAATGTTACAAGTCACGACAAATGATTATCTGTAATAACGATTTGAATTTGTTCTTAAAGCACTGACAATAATCTTGGTAACCTTTACTTTTTGAGTTTAGTTCCATCAAACCAGACCTTCCTTTTAATCCTCACTTTACTTGCAACTTCTTCGCCATCGATTCCAACAAATTTGATCTCGTATTTATGATTCTTGAGTGGATCTTTCACATCGTCATGACCTTCTGGCCAGGATCCACTGATCTCAGGCAAGTTGACCTCAATGCCTTTCTTTAGCAGGAGATCTTTGATGCCTTCTGAGCCTACTCCCTTGGGAATGCCATCCAGTTTGACAATCTGCGGTCAGTAAATAATATAGTAAAACAGAAAACCTTTTAGTGTAATAGAAAAATCCGAGCCCCAGATGGGACTTTCATCTTTACATGCTCACTTTGGAGGTTGGTTGGCCGCATCTTGATATGCCTTAATGTGACAGCGTGATGCTGTTAGTGAGTTTCACAGGTGCTTACCAATACTTGGCTGTGTAGCCGCGCGATGCGGTTCCAGTCTAGGCCCACAAATTGACCCTTGCTCACCATAGAGTTTCCAGTAGCTCAGTGGTTAGAGCATCCGACTAGATCACGGAGGGTCGTGGGTTCAAGTCCCATCTGGGGCTCGGATTTTTCTATTACACTAAAAACAGAAAACCGGTTGGAAAAAACGCGCTTGTCAGCTTGTAATTGATCAGTAATCCACACGCAAAGTGGCTCGACACCATCGGAAGTAAAGTGAAGTCAATTTTAATCAGTTAATGACGTAAAATTGTGTTCATATTCTGACAATTGTTATTGTACAGTCTTTTAAGATTTCTTTGCCTCTTTGTAAAACACACTCTTCCTCTAACACGGTCACATGCCGGGCCAGCTCCGGGATATTTTGAGGGGGATTGGAGGGGGTGGGGGAGGTTCAGAATTTGATTAAGGAAACACATATTATTTTCTACCCTATAGCCTCAATAAGCTACGAGATATTGCCAAACAAGTAAAACTTAAATACTCTATATTGTGTGGTAACATGCAGTCAGGTTGTTACAAGGATTTTGGCGTCAGGCAATTGGTAAAAATGCCCACAGGTCCAGACGGGAAGTTGGATATCACACTCGCCTCAACCCCCTCCCCTCTCCGACCTTTTCCGTGTATCCACCCTTAGTGTTGTCTCGAAACTGCTTTTATATAATTTCTTTTGTATTCTTCGTGAAAATATTTACCTGAAGGAAATCAAGATTCTTAGTTGGAATGTGGAATAAGAAAGCGTCCTTCTTATCGCCATACATGAAGTACGAAAGGAACTCCGGGTATTCGTCGTCGTCAAAGTGTTCGTACTGTGGGACATCCACCACCTTCAATCTAGCTGACATGAAAGGCTTACTTCCACGAGAAGGCAGTCCGATGTATAAATCGAACGCTTTAGCTTTATCTCCGTACTCCGATTCTCCAAAAAACACATCATGTAGCGTGCTTTTTTTACTTCGGAAGACAATTGGGCTGGGTTCGGTGCTGGTAGCCATCAAAGAGTCCTGCTTGGATTTGTACTCTTTTGCTTGACTATCCGAGTTAAACTGCAAAGTGGCGACAGTACCATACTGCTTGGAGATGTTGTTGAAGTTGCCTGCGTAATAAACGATGACTTGGTGCTTATCATTAACCACTCCTGTACTGACAAAGTCATGATGGGACTTGGGATCTTTCACCTGACATTAAAAAAAACAATTTGACCATTTCATCGACTTCATGATTGACGAATCCTCAAAAAAAGTCTATCCTCAAAGGCATAACTGTACTCTACATTTTCGAATCAAGCTTTGTAAAATTGTGCCCAGAATTTTGAACGGGTCAGGCATAACAGGCCGACAGGTGTTTCTCTTATCTTTGAATGATACGCTAACAAGGGATTTTCTTGCCTCTTTTGTAACTATAGATGCTATAGTCGCTTGCTTTGGTGTTGAAAGGTTCGTCCTTTTGGAGAAGGTGTTAGAATACGCGTATTGTTATCGTATTGTGTCTTTGTGCACGATCCTCGCAGTAAAGTAATAATGAAAATCTGACCTGAAAAAATTCAGGCCTGTATGGGATTCGAACTACTGACCTCTCCGATACTAGTGCACCGCTCTACCAGTTGAGCTAACAAGCCAACTGGGAACAGGTTATCAAATTAATTCGACATAAACCCGTAAGATGATAAATCAAACACAACGAATATATGAAATTCATATATCTGAACTGCGTATACCTGCTCCCAGTTGGCTTGTTAGCTCAATCGGTAGAGCGCTGTATTAGTATCGCAGAGGTCAGTGGTTCGAATCCCGTACAGGCCTGAATTTTTTCAGATCATATTTTCACTATTGCTTAAATAGTACCCTTTACGGCGAGGATCGTGCACAAATACGTTTCTATAACCTCAGTTCAGCTATATGAATTTCATATATTCATTGTGTTATCGTATTGTTAGAATTTTGTCATATTCTACGTTACCCTTCCAATGGCGCAAAGAATGCTGTTCCTCATGATAGAAGCCAAGTTATCTAAGAATCCGATGGAAGTTGCCCATGGATCCATGCAAGTGGTAATGAGGAACTTGACAGAGGAATCGCCCTTTGGATCAAGCTGGAATGGGAACCAATTTCGGGTGTAAATGTGCAAACACGGACCTCTGGCGCATGAATGGTGTGTCTTAACTAATAGTCACATTAAACTGAAGATCGACGATTTGAAGTAGTCCACCCGCATGCTATTTCTCCTGTGTCACAATTACAACTACACTTTGCGAGAAGAATCCTAAGGATTGCATTGATTTTTTGGTTTACTCCGCTCTGTGACTGGTCCAGAAAACTCGTGCTACCCTCTCAACCAATCAGATGAAAAACTAATACCAATCACGACATGTTGGTCGTCCGCGTTTTCCCGCGCTTTACAGTTTGGTTGGTTTTATACTCCATGGCTCTTACAGACATTTTTCTTTCTTATGTTTGGCTGTTGTGATGACTTTAGGTTTGGTTTTACAACACTCAACCGAAAAGCGACCTTATTACTTTGTTTACTATGAACGTCACAATTACCATAATAGTGTCCCCTTACCCCCAGCCTCTTTTTAAAGTTCTTCAGAGCAGAGCTGTGCTTGTGGTGAAGCATGCTAGATGATGTCACAATCATTGGAATTCGATGTGCAGTCCTTTCTCCTGAGGAATGGCTGAGGCCTTGAAATATCGCCATATTGAGGGAATTGCAGACGTCGACGCTTTTATTTCCCTTTAAATTGACGGTAAAGCACGAAACCAGCGTGTCTGGACCAACCTCTTTCAAATACTCCATGGCTTCATCGTCCTGTTTTTTAAAAAAACGAACAATTCGTAATCCGCCATCCCTTATACCCCCATATTCATGAGCGGGTACTTCACAGCACAACACAAATGTGTCTGCGATCAGGCAAATCTTCTCACTGCACACTTGTCAGGACTAAGCGTTTTAAAAATTTCGTTACCGTTAAGTATCAACCTGTGTAAAGTATTATGTGTATAAAATTTATTTAGGTTTCCAGTGTGTATGCTTTTAAAACTGTACTAGTAATTCAGCCTTAGGCTGCAAGTGGTCCGAAATAAACTATATTATTATTATTATATTATTATTTTATTATTATTATTATTATTATTATTAACTGAGTTCACTTATGAATTTCCATTTACGATTCTTGAGATACCTTGGCGAGTTCTTCGTTATTTTTACCAGTGATTCTTTCTCTGATAAACTCCTTCTGCTTCTTCTTCGACATTCCCTTCCATGAAGATGGCAGCGGTTTAGTGGTTTCAATGATAAACTGGTCATCCTCTTCAGGGAGGGTCATCCAAAGACAGTACAACATTTTAGCAGTGAACGTACATTCAGACAGAATCCTACCATAGCCATTTCTGTGCAGACCAATAACCTATTCAAAAGTTAAGAGGTGTGATTGGCATGTAAGCCATTACCGCAAAAGATTACAACACAAGTGCAACAGGTGGCAACACTAGGATTATGTTTCTCTCGTAAAAAAAACACCTAATGGCCACATTCGTTACTAGGAGCGGGAGCAGCTTTTTGTGAGGAAAGAAAGTTGATTGACCAAGAACTTAAACC